TTCACATTTGTAATTGTTATTTATACATTAGTTTGTAGCTGAAATACACTAACAACAACAAAGATTTTAGTCCCAAATAAGTTGGGGTAGGCTAGAGCTAAAACCCAAAAGATCTTGCAACCAACTCATGGTTCTCGCACATGGATAACAATCTTCCACGCACCCCTCTCCATGGCTAGTTCTTTGATGATACTCCAGTCCTTCAGATCTCTCTTTACAGACTCCTCCCATGTCAAGTTCGGTTTACCCCGACCTCTCTTGAGATTATGAGCATGCTTTAGTGGTACGCTATGTACTAAAATTTCTGGAGGCCTACGTGGAATATACCCAAACCATCTCAGATGATACTGGACAAGCTTTTCTTCAATTGGTGCCACCCCAACTCTATCTCGTCTATCATCATTCCGAATTCAGGCCTTCCTTGCATGGTTGCACATCCACCTTATCATGCACATCTCCGCCACACCTAACCGTTCAACGTGTCGCCTTTCAGTCATCCGACACTCAACGTCATGCAATATTGCAGGTCGAATCACTATCATATAGAACCTTCCTTTAGCTTTTTTGGCACTCTCTTGTCACAGAAAATTTCAGAAGTTTGACGCCACTTCATCTATCAAGCTTTGATTTGATAGCTCACATCTTCATCGATACCCCATCTTTCTGCAGCATCAACCAAAATATCGAAAGGTATGCTTCTGAGGTACCACCTGCCCATCAAGGCTAAACTCCTCCTTGTGCCTAGTAGTACTGCAACAACACCTCATGTACTCGGTTTTAGTTCTACTAAGTCTAAAACCTTTAGATTCTAAGGTTTGTCTCCATAGCTCTAACTTCCTATTAACCCTCATCCAACTATCATCGACTAGCACCACATGGTCCACGAAGAGCATACACCATGGGATATCCCCTTGTATATCCCTTATGACCTCATCCATCACCAAAGCAAAAAAGATAAGGGTAAAACTGATCCCTAATGCAGTTCTCTTTCAATTGGGAAGTCATCAGTGTCGCCATCACTTGTTCGAATAGTTTTCACAACATTATCGTATATGTTCTTGATGAGGGTAATGTACTTTGCTGGGATTTTTGTGTTTCTCCAAGGCCCACCACATGATATTCCACGGTATCTTATGGTGCGCCTTCTCCGAGTCAATGAACATCATATGCAGGTCCTTCTTTTGCCCCATTTATCTCCCCATAAGTTATCGTACCAAGAAAAATAGCTTCCATGGTCAACCTCTCAGACATGAAACCAAACTGATTTTGGTCACGCTTGTCATTCTTCTTAGGCGGTGCTCATTGACTCTCACCCGTAGCTTCATTATATGGCTCATCATCTTAATTCCACGGTAATTAGTATAACTCTGAACATCCCCCTTGTTCTTGAAGATTGGTACTGATTCTTCTGGCATCTTGTTTGCCCGAAAAGTGAGGTTGAAAGCTTAGTTGGCCATACTATCGTTGTCTCAATGGGGATACAATCAGGGCCCATCGTCTTGCCTCCATTCATACGTTTTAAAGCCTCCTTAACCTCAGACTCCTAGAGTAGCCGTACAAAATGACGGCTGGTATAATCAAATGAGTCATCAGTTTAATGGTAGAGCTCTCATTCTCCCCATTGAACAGCTTGTCGAGGTACTCCGGCCGTTTTGTCGAAGTACTCCCGCCTTCTATGTTTAATCTCCTCGTCCTTCACCAGGAGCTGGAATACACTAAGTGGATTTTTTAAGGTCAAAATAAAATATCTACTTATGTTGGCGAGTTGTTTTTCTTCCAATTTATGTTTATATCCATTACTATAATTTGCTTTGTATGAAATGTAGACCATCATAATATGATACTATTTTATTTGCGAGTATTATTTTATTTGCTTTAATGTTCTATGTTCTAACACAGTCCACCGAAAAGGATTCTACCATATGTCCATGCATGTGTGTCTTCATCGTTTCCTTCTCCTGAAGGATTTGTCTTGCTTGTGTATCTAGCCAGTTTCCTAAATTGGAATCAAAATGTTCAATGTTTGTGTATACTAAATCCAAGCCAATTTTTTTGCTTCACCTGAACCGTTATTTTCCTGTTGCTTTAATATTATAATAGATATAATAGGGAAGTAGCGATTTGGCTCCCGGCCTCTGATGAGCCCGGATATGAACATCAGAATCAATTAATATACTAGAAAAATTATTTTTTTGTGGTGAAGGATGATTAAATGCGTGATGTTCGTGCCAAATTTGAGAACATTTAAACATCTGAGAAGCTCTCAGTGAAAAAGACAAAATTGGGGTCTGCCAAAAAGTTTACTCTTTTGTACTGTTTAGACCTGATTTTGGCTTTTTTTTCCTGAGAGCTGCTCACATGCCCAAATGCTCTGAAATTTGGCACGAACATCACGCACTTATGCATCTTTCAACAAAAAAAAATTCAGATTTTTTTGAATTTTCCCTCTTTTTTTCTTCAGTTTACTGTTCACCAGGTGCATCTGAGCTCGGGTTCCGAATTGAGTTATCGATATAATCTTCTAAATATGTTATTCAAATAACTTGAATACTGTGTACTTGTAAACATGATAATGTTGAGTCTAGAACCCTTGAGTTGATCATAGATGAACGAAAATGAGATTTGTTTAGCCGATTAGTCGTCAAGCAAAAACGTGTGAAAAGTAAAATAGTTTAATTATTGTCTATTTGCTTTATTGAGCCTAGAGGTCAGATCTTTAAATCACTTTGATAAGTACCACGAGTGGTAATTTGAATGCAATATAGGCGGCACCGAAACTGTTACTTCCTTCTCAAATTTCATTTGGTTCATGACTGATTTCATATAGAGTTCAGTTTGTTTTGCCAAAAATCCACAGGATTTTTTGTTGAATTTTGTTCAGATTTCAAACAGCTTTACCGAATTAATTTTTGAAACCACCTCTTCTTAAATCTAAATTTGAAATTCTGACCCTTACGATGGACATTTCAAAAAACATTAATTAAATTGAAGCTATAAATTTGCGCACCTTTTGTCCTCTAGGAAATTCGATATGTCGTGGATGATATCTTCTGTTGTCCTTGCTTCGGTGTCACCAAGTGGTTGAGATCCTACTTGTCGGAGAATACTCGTGAGAACCTCCTTCATGTTGGGAGTTGGAGTGACGGACACAAAAGCCCGGGACTGGAACTTATTTCCAATCTCCTCGTAAACAAGGTTGGCAAGGGTTGTTTTTCCCACACCAGCCATTCCAACAATGGATGCCATTTTGAGCTGCGGCTGCACACTTGTGCTCTCTTCTTCTTCTACCAGGTGTCTGATGAGCTCATTCCTCCATGTTTCCAGACCGATGAGCTTTGATGCATCCTTCCGGACAAATGGAGCTCGAGGAGGAGGCGCTTTGCTGGAGGCGCTGGAATTGGCGTTTCTTCTTGAAAATAAGCTGGAGATGGATTCAGCACGCTTGCTCTTCTCCCACTTCCAGTTGCTGTGGCACCGGCCCGACACGTCATCTACTCTCGTCTTGAATTCTTGGAAAGGACGGCTGGCTTTGATCTTGCTCTGCACCATCAAGTGCTTGTTTCTGCGACTGGGCTCCATGGTGAGGATGAAGTCGTCAATAGCGTCCAGCATATCATCAGCGAGATCCAGCGCTTCTTTCTTCAGGTACTTGGATTCCGCATCGAGAATCTCCCTCTCCCATGTCGCCCAAAGGATAGAGTGCACAGGCTTGAGCTTGGATTTGATGAACTTTATGTCCTTCCGAGTCTGGCGCCGAAGCTTGTACTCGCTGCCCAGCAAAGCACCCAGCTTCACAACGACGGGCCCCAAGACCCCCGTGGCTGCTGTCACGGGAGCTCCCTCCATGGCTCAGCTAGGCCGTGCAGGCTGTATGCACTGGAGCGCCGCCGCCAAAGATCATATATGTGTGTGTGTGGAAGCCGACGCCGGTCCGGCAGCTGTCCTTGCGAATTGTGTCTATCTGGGTGGAATGTGGAGATCAACCTCCAAATGGTTACTTCAGCTGGTTATCATAGCAGAGGTGAGATCAAGTTATGCCTTCTCCTGGTTCTTGCAGCAAACCCAGATTCCAACAAATAGAAAAATGGTTCTTTGCCTTGATCATTGTGCTTCTTTTGATTTTTCTAATGAATGAATGGCTACTCCCACAAGACAAGCGATCTCAACGTATTGCACCAAACTGATAACCAAACACAAGCCGGAAGCTTATAATTATCTTCTTCTTTTCCCTTTTATATTGGAGAAGTTTTTTACTTTTACTGCTTTTGCTTTCGAAAAAGCAGTGCTCCATTTGTGCTAGCGAAGCAAGGAACAGAACAGGATTCTCGCCTTAATTTACTTACCCCAAGAATAGAGTTCCTCTTGGTGGATGCATTCCTTGGAGAACCAGCAAAGCTACCCGGTTCTTTCCCAAAAGAATCACCCTTCCCTTTTCTTTTTCTTTGTTATTGGCGAACACTGTCATTTCAAGCTTGCCATTTTGCTTTGAGCGCAGCGATGTAACGATGAATTTATGATGTGTGCTATTCTTTGGTGTCTTCCATAATCCAGAGAAAATGATGTGCCTCATAAGTGATGAAATGACGCTAATGAAAAATGTTGCACCTTGTTCCTTTCCTCAAATGATTCAATAACGCGTCACCGCTTCTTTTTTCTCAGGAATGATGCTTCCCTTCTCAAAGGAATGATGCTTCCCTTCTCAAAGGAGCAAAGTTGATGCATGCACGCAGCAAAGCAGCAAAAGCAGCCCTTCTCAATGTGACGTCAATCATGCATGCAGCAAGCAAAGCAGCAAAAGCAAAAGCCCAGCAGCTTGCCAACTTTACTTGTGTCCACCACCATCCTCGATTCCCCGCCCTCTACCCAAGAAACAATCTAACACAGATGCTGGCTGCTTGCAGTGTCCATCCAGCCGCCTGCTAAATCCTCTGCCCGGCCGGGAGCCACCGCAGAGGCCTCCACCGCTGACACCTTAGACGGCAGTCACTGGCTGCTAAAGCCTATTCGGCGGCCAGCATCGCAGGTGCCCACCTCTCGTGCTCCCCCTTCTTGTTTCTCTCTTCTTTTTGAGGCAAGAGAGGAAGAGAGATCGGACCAATCAGGAGCATAGCCAAGTTGACAAGAAAACTGGAAACTACGTAATGTCTAGAATTGCCTGAACATTTATTTCATTACTGCGCAAGCATGGACAAAAGATGTGAGACCTAACATTTTGTTGATTTTCGTTTCAGTCTTGTGGTTAATTAGCCAGATCTTCTAGTCATACTACAGGGTGCACTAGATGCCTAAAAAACAGAGTATTATCTAGCATCTATCATCTATCGGTGAGTAAATTGCCACATGTCGTCTATCAATGAGTAAATTTCCACCCGAGTACAAGTTGCCATATTTCCCATAGGTAGGTTATTTGGTTGGGGACGATTTAGTGTTTCATTACCTAAATTATTTTTCTCACCATGATAGATGACCCGCCTTTGCGGTGTTTTCCCTTTCCTTTTATAGATAGATTGACAACTGCTGAGGAGGTGGCAACGGAAGTTAGCTCTGTCTATGCTTGATTTGAACTTTTTGTGGCCCACTCATCCTTTGCTGCACTTGGAACAACAGAGAAGGTGAAGATGGAGATTGTGGTGGGTGCTTAGGAAGCAACCATGAAAATAGAGTTTGACAGGAGTACACCGCACCTGCTTCCACCTGCCTGTGCAGCCGCTGCCTTCGACGGTGGCTGCCCTGCCCAGTGTCTGCTCAAGACTCTTCAGTGACCAGCAGCTTTTTGTCCAGTTTGCAGGTGCCTCCTCTGCCCCCAACTCCATTTTCTGTTGTCTGTTAGCTTTTTGTTCCAGTTGCCATGGCAGTTGATCTTGACAACCTACCATCATTGCGAACGTGTTTTTCACTCAATTAATTAGCATTGTGACATATAGAAAGTACAAATCGGAAAATCCCATGAAGTGCATAACATCCCCAATTTCCTCAGCATCATATGCAATCTTTAGGCATTGTTGGTTTTCATTTGATTTTTGGGGATAACCTAGTGGTGTTGATATATATTGTGGTTAGCAAATTCTATAAGCCATGATATTAGGGTTGTATGCATAAAATGCAGTCATCAGTGAAACTTTTGTTTGTATAGTTTCTTTGATTGGAGGCAAATTGATAATCGCTAGAATTGTTCCATGATCTGATTGTGGAGACTTTTCATGATTAATTATTTTCTAGCCATAATCAATGCTGACCCTTATCTTCCTTTTTTCCATTCTTTCCATAGATCAACAACTGCTGAGCACTGTCTTTGCACTTGCAAGTTACAACAACGGGAGGCAGATTGTACTAGTGAAGAGCACACAGATCGAAGGAGAAGATGGAGTTTGTAGTGGGTGCTTCGGAAGCCACCATGAGATCTCTCCTAGGCAAGTTGGGCGGTCTCCTTGCCCAAGAGTACACTCTGATCCGCAGCGTCCGCGGCGACATCCAGTACATCAGCGACGAGCTCGCCAGCATGCAGGCCTTTCTTGGCGACCTCGGCTCTGCCCTGGATGACCACGATCGCCGGCTCAAGAACTGGATGAAGCAGATTCGTGACATGGCATACGACATGGAAGACTGCATCGATGACTTTGCTCATCGCCTCCCTCAGGACTCTCTCAGCGATGCAAGATGCTCCTTCATCGTGACGATAGTCTACGAGATGTGGACGTTCTGGCCTCGCCGTGACATTGCCTCCAAGATTGCCGAGCTCAAGGTCCGGGCACAGTACATTGCTGAGAGGCGCAGCAGATATGGAGTGAACAACCCAAACCCAAGAACAAGCTCCGGAGCCGGAGCAACCCATGCTGTTACGTATGGCATTGCTGAGCATTTGGTGGCGAGCAGTCAGCTCATCCGCACAGAGAACCCCGTGGGAGTGAAGGTGGACATGAAGAAGCTCAGGGGTTGGCTAGCCAAACATGATAAAGGCTCTCATCGAGCTGTTGTGTCATTGATTGGATTTGGTGGTGTGGGAAAGACCACCATTGCCATGGCACTGTACCGAGATTTCAGGAATGAATTTGACTGCCGGGCGTCAGTCACAGTGTCTCAGAACTTCGATGAAGATGAAGTCCTCAGGGATGTTCTTGCTCAAATCAAGCCAGCAGACAATCAAATCAATCCAAAGGAGGAGGGGCAGGAGGGCGGCAACAGAGGGAAGTTGGAGAAGAAAAACCTAGTGGCAGACATTAAACGTAGCAGGTAACATACTAAAATTGGACCTAAAAAGTAGAATCAAAATCATAAAATTATATCCATCCAATTCATAAAAATATGGCAATTTGGACATAGGTTGGGTCGAACTAGTTAAATTTGTGTTGAATCTGAATACGTATAAGGCTCTCTTGGACTGTTCGGAGGACTTTTTTTCTCAGTGGTATGAACTTAAATAAGCTAAGGATGTTTCTTCTCACTCGTATTTTTTTCCTGTTTTTTGGCAGGTATCTCCTCTTGATTGATGATATATGGTCTGTACAAACATGGGAGACCATTAGAAATTGGTTGCCACATGATAATAATAAGGATAGTAGAGTAATAGTAACTACAAGATTTCAAGCTGTTGGTGCGGCTTGCTCAGAAAGAGATGGAACTGATTATCTGCATACAGTTAATGCCCTAAGTGATGCCGACTCCAAAAGTCTATTTCATCAGGGTGTTTCTGAATCCCCAAGCAGCCAAGAAAGTGAAAGAATGGATACAAGATCTCAAGCTGTTGGTGCTGAGTCCTCTGAAGGAGATGGAACAGATCATCTGCATTCAGCCGATGTCCCAAGTGATGCCAATGCCAAAGGTCCGTTCGATGACCGTGTTTCTAATCCACAGAGAAGCAAAGAAAGGGAGATAGAAGAGGTCCATGAGGAGATATGGAAATATTGTGGGGGGCTGCCTTTGGCCATAGTCACCATGGCTGGCCTTGTGGCTTGCAACCCAACAAAAAACAATGATCATTGGAGTAAAGTTTGCAAGTCATTATTTCCGGAGCAGGTGGCTCCCCTTACATTGGAGGGGGTCACAAGGATACTTGATTATTGCTATAATGATTTTCCAGCAGATCTCAAGACCTGCTCATTGTATCTGAGCATATTCCCCAAGGGCTCGAAAGTTAGTAAGAAGCGTCTGACCCGACGATGGATATCAGAATGTTTCGTCGCTGAGAAGCAAGGGCTGAGTGCAGAGGAAGTGGCAGAAACATACTTCAATCAGCTTGTAAGCAGGAAGATAATATGCCCTGTGGATCACAGCAGCAACGGGAAGGTAAAATCCTTTAAAGTTCATGACATGATCCTGGAATATATCGTGTCCAAGTCAAGCGAAGAGAATTTTATTACTGTTGTTGGTGGACATTGGCTGATGCCAACTCCTAGCAACAAAGTCCGTCGACTCTCCATGCAAAGCAGTGGTTCCAAGCATGGGAATTCAACAAAAGGCAAGAACTTGTCTCAAGTGCGGTCACTGACAGCGTTTGGAAGCCAGAACAGACGGCTCCCTTTCCATTCGTTCAACAATGGAATAATACAAGTGCTAGATCTTGGGGGCTGGAAGGGTTTGACAGATAAGCATATGAATGACATATTAAAATGCTTGTGTTGAAGTATTTGAGCCTCCGACGAACAGAGGTTTCTGAGATTCCATCAAAGATCGAGAAGCTCCAGTATCTAGAAACTCTTGACATAAGGGAGACAAATGTCGGGGTGCTGCCAAAAGCTTTTGGACAGCTCAAACAGCTCCGTAGCATGCTTGGAGGGAACAAAAACACAAAGAAGGCTTTGAAGTTGCCACATGAGAAGAACAAGGAGCCGATGAAAGCACTTCGTATC